TATTTTTTTTTGATAATCAACGAAACAAAATTCTTGTTAACATATCTTTCTGATAATTAACAAAACGATTTTTTTTGATAAAAACATAATGTTTACATTATTGATGTAAAAAAAACGATTTTGTATTTTCGTTTATTGATAAAATTAACGTTAATGTGCAGCCCTGGTGCTTAAGGTGAATATTTAGAATTTTTCATAACAGTCCGTCAGCTCAATCGAGAGCTGAAATATAATTAAAAGTGCCGAATATTAGCAGAAAGCCCAAATTAATACAATTAGTGGATGAAAGTCATTCATTTTATTCACTTATTATTAATTTCCTTATGTTTTCATTACTTTATCATAAATTTTAGAATAAACTTTTCGGGTCTCGGCAACACTGAAATTTGCCCCGTAATTTTACGAGATGCGCATAAACTGTTCTCCACACAAATCATGGCAGTTCTTTTACGAGAGTCGTAAATTTACGAGGTTTACGAGCTTTACGAGGGTTTTACGAGTTTAAGAGATTACCTGTATTGTCAGCCTTACCCGCATTTTCACTTACTTTTGCGTTTTCTTAAAAATCGTACGTTTTAATTTTTGGGTGCTCCTGAATTCGCAACTTTTTGTTATCGATAAATTCAATTTTCCACTTCGTCTCCAGAATTCTTAACAGCCATCCCTTGACGGTATGCAAAAATTATCGCACATGTATCGTCCGCACCAAATCCTAAATCTTCGTTGCTTCGATAAATTTTCGTTGTCCAAAAATTAGAGGTGTATAAGAAATAGTAGTACTCGCTTCCACTCCACAGGGCCTGGGTTCAAGCTCTGGCCAAAGCAACATCGCCTACAAACTATAGAACAGCGGTCGCCCCTCGGCAGGTAATGGCAAACCTCCGAGTGTATTTCTGCCATGAAAAACAGCTTCTCATAAAAATACAATCGCCATTCGGAGTCGACATAAAACTGTTGGTCCCTCCCCTTTGTGTGACAACATCAAGGCGCACCCCAAAAATCGAAGGAGAAGCTCGACCAAACACTAACATATGTGTAAGCGCTAATCTGGTATTATTATATTATTATAATAAATAGTAAATTAAAGAAATCAAATCAACATAAAAAGTTAATTTTAGGACGCAAAATTTAAAGGACATGATTAAAATTTAATTTAAACTAAGCTAGCTTGTTATTTATATTCATTTTGCTATTTACTTCTCATTCCACCGTCCCAGCAACAACCGATTTTAAACCGCAAAAAATTGGCGATTTGCGGGTATTGGAACACGTAATTTTGTGATTTGAAAAGTAAAATATTTGCAATGCCGAAAATGGGAGCACTGCTGTGTATGTAATTTTTCAATCCTGGAAATAAACTAATTAAAAAACAAAACATTAAACTGTATTTAAATTTTTGTTGTTCTTTTTTGTGTATATTAATTGATGGATCAAGAAGCCTTTTTCCTGATTAAACGAAAGCACAAATATGTATGTGGGAAGTGGGCTATGTATAAAAGCAGTCAACGGCGACTTGCTAAAAATAACCAAGCTACCGAAAATGGCGAGAATAAAAACGCGACCAATCCTCTTCAACGTAGCGATTTACACTACTTTATTAGCCTTGATGTTAGTTACTTATTAGCGACTTCTATTTAGTACCAGTGGTGCCAGATTGAGGGAAATTTCCCTATTTGAGGGATATTTTGCATCAAAAATTATTAAAAGGGAAAAAAGGGACATTTCATATAAATAAGGGATTTTCTTTTGACGCAGTTATTGTTGCATAATTGATCAAAATTCACGAATATTCGACATTCGACTTAATTCATCGTTCTGAAGATGTGATGTGGAGTGAAATGGTATATAATTGTTAAAAAGTATAAGGATAATTTCGAAAATTTTCTTACGTTAACCAATTCAAACGCTGAGTAAGAAAGAATATTTTCAGTTGTAACTGGTATTTCATGTAAAAAGGGGAACAAATTATCTGATGAAATGTTAAATAGCAGTGAGTGAGCAAAAAAATGAAAGTGAAAAATTGAATGAGTGAAAAAAATGCAGGAAAAGGTGTTTTTTCTTAACAGCGGTCGACCCTCGGCAGGCAATGGCAAACCTCCGAGTGTATTCCTGCCATGAAAAACAGCTTCTCATAAAAATACACTCGCCATTCGGAGTCGGCGTAAAACTGTAGGTCCCTCCCCTTTGTGTGACCACATCAAGGGGACCGCCACAAGTTGGAGGAAAAGCACATATGTGTAAGCGCCAAACTATTATTATTATTTTATATGAATTTTACTTCTTTACTACTGAAACATGTATATGTTTAAATTCGTTGGGAATTTTGTGGGATAAATTTTCAAGATGTGGGTAATTGAGGGATTTTTTCCCCATTTTCGTGGGATTTTTAACAGAGAATGTCTGGCATCACTGTTTAGTACCAACAAATGAGAGAAAGTGAGAGTGATTATGAGTGGAATTATGATTGCTTTACAATGTAGGTATCCTGCAGTAAATCGCGCTAGTTCAGAACTAGCGCAGAACTAGCTTTTTAAGAGGCGGTACTGGTTCTCGATCTGTCCCAACGCAATGCTTTCAACTGTCTCTTTTTACATGGCGATGTCCTATTTTGATTAAGTACTCAATTTTTTTTTTTTTACTTTTTCCTGTTCTTTTGCAGATTACATTTCATTTAATCTTTTATACTTTTGTTTTATTTATATTAAATTTGATGATTTTCTATTCAATTTGTAAGCGGCACTCAACAATTTAAATTTGTTAAATCTGAAAATCACAAACTGCCTCTACCGCGATTTGAACTCGCGACCAACGATGTTAGAGTCGGAGGTCTTCCCGCTGAGCTATTTGAGTATTGTACAAGACGTGAGAATTTGTGCATTTACTTCTCAACGGAGCGCAACTAGTACACCAAAAGTTTGAACTGTCCCTCTCTGCAGCCGTTTTGCACTAGTTCAGAGATAGTTCTGAAATGTGTAGGGCGAAACTAGCGCTTTAACAGACTGTCTCTAAATTTTACTGCAGGGTATGTACAACTTACGGCAGCATACATGCATATGCACATAATTACACGCATACTCAAATACAACAATAACTATTTATGTAAGTTTAAAGTTTATATGCCACAGAAACCGGCAAAATATGGCATATGGCTTTAACAGATGCACGTACACACTATCTTTCAAATTCCTATATTTATTATGGAAAGAACTCAGATGGCATAAACCTTACAAATGCAGAAAAAAAGCAAGCAATAGCTCAATCGGTATGGAGATTACGCAATATTATAGAAGGGAGTAACAGAAACATTATTGCAGATAATTGGTTCTCATCAATTCAATTAGTAAAAATATTAAAAGAACGCCAGCTTACTTGTTTGGGTACTCTTAGAAAGAATAAAAAGAAAATCCTTCAGAATTTTTACCAAACAAAAATAGGCCAGTTGAAAGTTCTATTTATGGATTTACAAAAGATATTACACTTTTATCTTATGTGCCCAGGAAAAATCGTTCAGTTATTTTAATTTATTCGATGCATCATCATAAAGCAAATGATCCAATATCCAATAAGCCGGAAATGATTGCCGATTATAACAACACTAAAGGAGGAGTCGATGAGCTCGATAAAAAGTGTTCTATTTACTCATTTAGTTGCCGTACACGACGTTGGCTTTTAGCTGTATTTTATAGATTAGTCGATATAAGTGCAGTTAATGCGTATATTTTGAATCAATTTTCTCGTAACTACCGCGTGATTTCCAGAGCCAACTTTTTAAAAACTCTTTCTAGAAATTTGATTGTGCCACATTTACAAAGAAGACAACACACGGTCAAAAATTTGGGTTTAATTTTTAAACCGCGCTGGGACTACTGCCTTTTTTAAACTTTTATAGTCTACTTTTTAAACCAGTCAATAGTTTTACGCAATTTTTAATATATTCTGGTTTAAATTTTAGCCCAAAAGTTCGTGGTTTAAAAATCAAACCAGAATGTTTTAATTCTAGTTTCTAGGTTTCATATATAGAAAATTTGGTTTAAAATCTAAACCGAAATAGAATATGTTGCACAGCGAATTGTGGTGTTGATTCAAACTCAACATATGAAAGCACATTTACATGCGTGGCTGTAGCTGAGTGTGCAAAGATGCTTGATACAATTGGTTGCTACCAAGGCTGTCCGGGTTCAATCCCAACCAGACGGAGCATGAAATTTAAGATTGTTTTTTTTTATTCTTAATTATGAAAATCTTTGGGTTTAACATTTAAACCGAATTGTTTAAATTCTAAACCCATCATATGTGCTCTCTTTTTTTTTAAACTTGGAAGGTTTGTATTTGAAACTGAATTTAGTTTGGTCATATATGTAGTCCAAAAAGTTTAAAATTAAAACCGAAATTTTTAACCGTGCACATCAAAAGGTTAACTCGTTCCTTACGGGATATTATTCATATCATATTGGGTTCTGATTCTCTTCCAGAGCCTGCAATGGAAAAAGCTAAGCCAAATTATGTTAAATTAATTAAAAAGAAAAACAACACACACTTGCCAGAAATGTAAAACACCAATGTGTATGGGTTGTAGCAAACGATTGTGTATTAACTGTACGGATACTGAATATAATGAGCACCATTAAAATTTAACCAAAAGACTGATTATTATTTTCTAAAATAAAAAAGACTTAAGAATGTTGCTTTTTTATAATAATTTATATGCATTGGGCTGTGAAAAAATACCCAGCCAGCAAGAAAACGTACATTTTACGAACATTATGTTTTACGAGGGATTCTCGTATCGCCAAAAAGTTAGAGAAAAGCTCGTAAACGATAAATCAAAAAAAATATAATAGAAAGAGGCTTGTAGTAATTTGTCAGCACAAGAAAAAATTTTAGTTTTGTTGACAATTTTTCTTCAATCACAATATTTTATAAGTAAGTAGTTTGTTAAATATTCAATTTAAGAAAATTATTAAGTATGTGATTTATTGACAGACTGGTGCAAACGCAAAGGACGATCTACCACTTTCTTTTATATTTCAACTTCTTGTAAGTAGCTACTACATATGTAATTCAAAAACACAAATTAATTCAACGAGTTTTGCAATTCATTCACAGGCTGCGCGGAACAACACTAAAGGATTTAAACGTTTAATTACCCTATAGCGCTATTGGTTTGGCAACGACTGCGGCAATAAGAAGTACGGATAATAATATTATTTATTACCACTTTTTGCTTAATTAAATTTTCCGACTTCCAATGGAGTTTAATATTTCACTTTATTTTCTTAGGTGCTTTTCGTCAAAAATTTAACTCCGACGAAGAAGTTTCTATTTCCGTTTCAAAAGCCTATCGGCAAAAAAGATAAAAAATAAATTCAGCTACTTTATAATATATACTAAACCCTTCTTATTTAACTGTTAATTTGTTAATAGATAGTTTGTTAATATTTATTTATCTGAAAATATTCACATTTCAGTGCCGGGAAAAAATATTGGTACAGAGAATTTTTCGCCATGAATGCAAAGTTTTTTATTCTGATTTCTTCTCTAATTGTTTTTTATAAAAATATAGTTAGTATGAAGTTCTACTATCAAATCAGATTTTCTAGAAAAATTCCAAGTTTGCAGTTTTATAGAACATTTAATTTTAGTATAATAAAGTGCACGCTTGAATAGGTAGAAAACCTCTTTGTTTTTTGGCAATTTTTTATACGCAGTTTCTTCCATACAAAAAAAAATGTCGCACATAATTTGCATGGAAGAAACTGCGGGAAAAAATTGCCAAAAATCAACGCGGTTTTCTAGCAACTTCAAGCTTGCACTATGTTATACTAAAATAAAATGGGATATAAAACTGCATACTTAGAATTTTTCTCAAAAATCTGATTTGAAAGTAGGTCTTCATACTAACTATATCAAAAAAAAAAAATGTGCGAAAAGAAATTCAAGTAAGAAACTTTGCATACATTGCCAAAAATTCTATGTGCCAATACTTTGATCCGGCACTATAAATATTTATTAATTATAATTCCGTTCAATAAAAGAATTACAATAATTTGAATGAATTAATTGCCTTTATTTTTAGCATTAAAAAACAGTAGATAAAGCAGTGTAAAAAAAACGCTTTTTTAACGTAAATTAATCGTTTACGAGACTCGTTTACAATTAAAAAACGGACGTAAAAATATTCGCATACGAATGCTTTTTCGATCCGTTTACGACTGTTCGTAGGCGATGCACAATTTAAAGCGAAAAAGTGCTCGAAAAAGAGTCGTAAACGGCTATCATAAACGATTTTTAATCCGGTTTTTCTTCGAGAAAATATCCAGTTACGAGCTTGTTTACGATGATTTTGCTGGCTGGGTACCATCTAGTTTACCATTAAGTTTTTATTTTATTGTTTTATATACATGTTAAGAATACCTCTATTTTTTGTTTGTATAAAAAAGGCTATTGAAATAAAGTCAAAATTTTCAGAGAAATATAAAAAGTTTTGTATTTTTCTTTCCGAATACTGTAATTCGAATTACTTTAGATCGGTTTATTTAAATATTTAATTATTAAAATGATAAAAGGTATATTTAATTAAAATAAAGAAAGTAGTTTCAAATTTACTACCACCTCATACATTAAAAAATTTCACCTCATAAGTTGAAGGCTACGAACGAATTTTACTCATACGCCATGTATAAACTATTACACAACGCTGATTTTAGTGCGGCAAATGTTAAAGTTGTCCGTAAGTATAAAGTTTCCATCAGCTCCAGATTTTGAGAAAAAGGAGGTCAAAGTGTAAAAAGTAGATTTTTTTTGCAATATCTGATAAGCTCTAGCAAAGAAACAAAAGGCGACAGAACCTTCCGCTTATGCTTAAAGTAAAGCTAGAACTATCGACTACTGTCCCTGAAAATACCATCCCTGCACCATGATCTTATGGTCACCTTTAGTCATTTATTGAATAAATAATAAAAAAATACTGGAAAATTGTGCTAATGAATTTTAACTACAGTCGAATTTTTTAGTAAAATTAGTGCTACTTGACTAATTAAAGCCGGCCAAAATATGTAAAAAATAACTATTTAATTTAGTTAACAAGAATCTTATCGACTTTCCTTTTTAACCGACTTCCAAAAAAGGAGGAGGTTATCAGTTCGTCGGAATATTTTATTTTTTTTTAGACCAAGAAAAATACAACATCGTGAAAGCCATTTTGGAAAATTAGCCGTGAAACTGATAGCAGCTAACATGCTTCCAATTTCGATGGTGGAGAATAAAACCTTCAGACAATTTGTTTCCTTTTTGAACCCTAAATCAAAATTAATTAGTAGACCAACGGCTGTAAAAAGACGAGTATTTCGATTCAATGATGGAAAAAATCAAAAGTGAACTGCAAAACCAATCGTATTTTTGTACCACTGCCGATGCAGTTCACCAAACATCGTTACTTTTTTGGATACACATGCCATTGGATAACCAATTCCTTCGAAAGAAAGTCAGTAGCACTGGTATGCCACCGTTTTAAAGGTGCGCACTATGACTATGTATGACTAAATTAATGATCTATACTATTATAAAACTGTAGATTGTTTTTCTGTTTGAACTCACTAATCTCCGGAACTACTGAATGGATTTTCATGGGGCTTTAACTGGTATCTAGACAGTGACCTCGGACGTAACATAGGCAATATTTTATCAAAACTGGAATGTGGACAAAAAAGATATACCAATTTCTGCAAACAAAATTTACTTTGCACCAAATCCTTTTGAATAGAATTTTGCTTTTCAACGGCATCAACATATGCCAGTGTTTATTTTTCGTTATTGATATTTTTTTTGAAGTACTGAAGTATTGAAATTTTAAAGTAAAAAGAATATGCATGCGCAAAACGAAAAACAAAATTCAATTAGTGCTTTCCCTATGAGCGAGAGATATGTATGTACATATCAATGAAATATACATTTGGAGTCATAAATGAGTCTTTAAGGAGTCTCATTTCGGAGCTTATAATGAGCTCATTTAGGAGCCCGAAATTAGTGTGTTTCCTTCTTCCGAAGGTCGACTTATATGAGCTTAAATTGATACATCAAATGAACCTCCAAATGAGTCATATTGGACTCTTATTGGCTTCATAAACGGCTCATTTTGGACTCCTTTTAAAGCAATTTTTGGCCTCATATATGAATCGTTTCAGAGTTTTTTTGAGGCTCTTAAATGAGTCTCATAGTCCTCATAAATAACTTTATTTGGACTCTTATTTTACCTTATTTTTTATCCTTTGAGCCATATTGGCCTTATTTTTCAACTCTTATTGAACTTCAAATACTATACACATGTACATATGTATAGATACCTCAGTTCATACCCAATGGGAAAATAGGTAAGCACCTTACGAGGTAAGCCATGTTTTCTTTCAGTTTTTAGTACCAAAATTGTCATCATGGCCAATGTCATCTACTAGTAAAGAACAAAATGAACACCTCCCACGACACATTACGATGTCAGTTGCAAAGTAACGTGCAGCCGAAGTTATCTCCAAGCGCCGAACTACTCCGAGCGACTTCTCTGCATTACACGTAACTTACTTTGTAAAGCGGCTCAGAAGTATGTCTGATACCAAATGTACATTGTAAATTCCTACTTACATAAGGCGGCCATGCCTTTGTAAAAGTAAGGGACGTTCGGCAGGGAAATGGTAATGACTGCCAGGTGAAGAGTAAGTTGCTAATAAGATATTATTACGTGCTCCTAATTCCCACTGGGTATAAACATTTCAACATACATTTAATAGCAGCAGCTGCAGCTAAAATATTTTTTCTTTTCTAAATATTTTCAATTTCTGTATAAACAAGTTTAGATATAAATTTCGAATCTTTATTGTTTTTATATAACCACAAAGTGCTGGCTCCTAACTTCGATCATTTATAACTCCTAAAATATTCATATAAGAGTCACACATTTTTTGTTTTTGAAGTTCATATTTCTTAACCACCTAGGACTCCTTTCAGACTCATATACTCGGAACGCTCAGAATATGTTTGTCAGAATATGTTTTATAAACCAATAATAATAATAATAATCTATCTATACTATCCTCATCACGTTGGTCTCCTTGCCGTGGGGATGGGGCTTAGATGAAAATCTAAACCTCCGTTCTGGTGATTTAGATGATCATGAACTAAGAGGGAAGCTTGATATGACTGCCTGGATGGCCACTCGTCTTATGTACCCTCAATGTCTGCACGGGGGGAGCGGCCTCCCCTTGCGCCATGTCAAGATCACCGCACCGACGCTACGATCCCTCCTCCTATCCCACAAACACCCAATTCCCACCCTAACCAGAGGGGACTGCCGTAGTCGACGTTCCCCCTCTCCCCATCCAAATTTTCGGGTCTGCCGCGCATGCCTTGTCGAGCAACGCAGACGATTATGATGAATGAATAATGAACCACAAAAACCCCGCCTCGGATAAACGAGGTCTTCTTAAAAACAGCCGACCTGGCCCATCGGGCCGGTCCTGTCAATCTTTGGCAAAATATCCCTTTGGAGCCAAGCCTGTGGCAAAGCCAGGGTCCAGCTCCACTCTATCCCAACCGGGGCAAGCCTGCACGGCGGCAAGGTCCCAAGCCGATCTTAAAAGCACCAACACCACCCATTCCCTCAGGCAGGATGGTGGCGATGCCTCGATAACCGCTGGAGGTGGACAGGCTGTCATCTCGGACACTGTCTCAAGACAAGTCAAGGATGGCACCCTCTCCACCTCAAGTGGCGGACTCGACGCTATGGCAAACCTTGCCAGTCTTCCTTCGGGAAGCTCTGCTGGCCATGTTCAAAGACAAGCCAGTTGTGCCGTCCCCTCCCCAGCTGAGGTTCCTCCTAAAAAAGGAACATCGGCTTCGACGTTTGCGGAGTCGGCTCACATGACCAAGTCAGGGAATCCCAACGCCAACCCTTTAGGCTGTACGCCGAAACCCCCTTCCAAGGCGATAGGAACCTCTGAGAGAAACTATCGCACCAGAAGATCAGCTCTGCGTATCATCGATAGGCTGAAAGATGTCAAGCAGGAGGTCTTGACAGAAGAGCAAATCAGCTCGAAAGCTTGGGCAGAATATTTCCTGGAGATTCACCGAGAGAAAGCGAAAGCGGACCTCCAAAAGCGGAAGCGCTCGGAGGAAGAAGCAACGACCTCGGGGAAGAGAAAAAGGCCTTCTAACACCCAGATGGCTGCATATAAGGAGCCTAAAAAATCCTTTGCCGATGCGGCAAGGGAATCGCTTGTCCGTGCTGTGATCGATCGGAATGCCCTTGATGGTGGGATCACACAGCAAAATTGGGACCTGGTAACCAGAAAGCTGTGGGCGGTATATCGCGAGGTTCTCCGT